AACCTTTTAGATTAACGACGCTTCGACCGATTACGCGTATAATTTGCGGGTAGTTTACTCGTGTTCTTAGATAATTACGAAACCTTCGAGATCGTCCGCTTATAGCTTAAACCTCCTAGGGTAGGATGTTATTACTCTACTTCCTCGGTTTCTAGCTCTCTCTTAATTTCTAGCTCTCCCTTAATCTATAATCGAGTAAGTAGCTATCTTTACGATTATATAGGCTAGAAACGTATAAATATCTTACTAAACGAAGGTAGCGACTTATCGTTACTATTATTAGTAGCGTTATACTCTATAGTAGTATTAACCTGCTCTTTACTCTCCTATCGAATTTAGTATTAGACTTTATCTACTAACGTTTATATAGAAAGATARTATATATACTTCTAAGGTCGGCTTTACTTTAACTACTAGCTTTAACTCTACTTTAACTTCTTACTTTACCTTCTTCTTCTTCTTCTAAGAGTCCTTACTCTTTAGAGTAGTAGTAGCCTTAGTAAGATTTGCGTTAACCTCGGCCTCGTATAATAGGTTATCCGTAGGCTATAATATAGAACGTCTCTTAAAGATAAGGAATACCTTATATTACTTTCGAGATAGCTAGCCCTTTATATTAATATTATTTAGGAAGATACGACTTAGCTTCCTATCTTTAAAGTCTATATCTAGAGGTTAAATAGGCCTATCTCGGTTATTATACGACTGCGTAATATATATATAGGTGTTATYCGGATGTTCTATCTCCTTAGTAATATACGGTTTATTACCGAAGCTATAAATAGTAGCTACTATATCTTTAATATTATAATCCGGTACCGCGATGTTCTTAGGCGTTCCTACATCCTATTAGCGATTAATTATACGGCGGTATAAACAAATATAATAATAGTATATAATATATATAGTATACTTAAAGAACCCCTTACCTTTCTTTAACCTGCTCTACTTTAGTATCTTATCTAGATTATCTAGGGCAATATAGTATCTCGTAATAATAATCGTAATAATAAACCTAACTTATACGGTTGCTATTATAGAGATAGCCTTTATAACACTATCCTTCGACCGTTAGCTAGGGGGTGGATTACCTATATAGTACTTATACTTCGGTAGATTTATTACCGCTTCTTTTTCGATCTTAATCTATTATATATAGGTTGCCTTTATACTAGTAAGCTACGCTTTATTTAGAAGGCTCCTACTAATATATCCGTTAAGAACCTCGTCGTCTAATGTCTCGCTTTTATTAGAGTTAATAATAATTAGTATAGTGCTTAAGGATAGCGTATTCGTCCGTAGCGGTATTAGTATCGCCCGTATAATCGGTTTATTCGAAGGTACCGGCGGTATTAGGTTATAATCGCCGTAGAAGTAACATTTCTTATTATCTAGTATACACTTTATATAGTCGAATTAGGGCTAAGTAGGGTATATACGCTTCTATACTTTCTTTACTTACTTCTTAGAACCTATCGGTATAAAGCGGACTCGTAGATATAGCGTTGTATACGTTCGTATAAAGGAAGGAATATCGTTTATAAGAAGGGGGTTAAAGGAGGATTTTAGTAAAGGGGCAACCCTTTATCGCTTTATAGGTATAACTACGTAAAGACGGGGGATAGAGCGTACGCTGCTTAATAAGTATTATATAGATATATAGGCGTATAAATTTGTTATATAGTTATTATAGAGTTCTTATAGAGATTATAGCCGGGGCCGCTAATACTAGTAGGGATAGAAGTATATTAGCTATATATCCCCGGTATATATAGTCCTATTAGAGTATTAGAACGTAACGTAATCCTATTATACCGATAATCTATTCTAACTTATTCGACTAATAATTAACCTCCGATATATCGCTATTACTACTTTCCGAGTTATCCTCTTTTAAAAGCTCTCTATTAATTAAACCCTTTAGTGCCTCCTTAAGCTCTTTACGCGAGCGGTTATTATCGTACTAATCGCGAAACGCCTATATAATGTCTTCCGAGTCGACCTAAAATCCTTCCTACTTCCTACCGCCGCGGGGAATTAATGTCTTATATAGTATATTCTTAGGAACCTTACGTAGCTCTTCTACGAGGTTCTCGTATGCGATCTAGTACTACGGCTTTTATACGCTTAGTATAAACTTATACGAGCTTAGTCGACCGAGCGGAAAGCCCTTTATCTTTAGAATACTTAAGTAGAGCTTAAGCATCTCCTATAGAACATACTCCTTAGAATCTATATATATTAGCAAATAATTTAAGATCTATTATATGCGTTCGCTAGTACAAACGTACCCTACTTTGCGTAAGCTTCTATAAGACTATTAAAGTAGGCCTTATCGATTAGATACCTAATACTTAGCCTTCCCTCCTTCTCTACCTAGTTATAGTAATAGCTTAGTATACTACCCCTTACGTGCGGTCTATTAGATTGTCTTCGTACGGGGTGCTTGTTCTATATATATACGAACGAGGCTAGTTCTTTCCGTATAATAGGTATATAGATATACTTTATAGTAATACGGTTAGCCTTCTTTACTTTATAAAACTACCCCTTCTTCTTTAATATTATAAAGAAGCCCTATAATATTAAGATTAATTAGCCTAACCCGTACAATTAGATTCGGATATAACGGGAGCGTTACTAAAGTATATATAGATAATATGCTCTATGTACTTATATGCTATACCTTAAACCTTCCTCGTATAAGCTAGCCCTACTATACCTCGATACGGATATTAGTAGTACTTGTTCTAAATACAAAGTAGCGGCGAAAGCGTACTTTACGCCTACGAATAATCCTTACGTATTAGTATTAAGCCTACGCTATAAGGAGTATCTCTTTACTCTTATCTATCCGAATAATACGAGGTACTCTCGTAAGCTTTTTATAAGCTTTTGTAAAGTTAGATAGTATAGATACTATTATACGGGTAGAGGGTCTAAGATAGGTATATAGAATAAACCGTATATCTATATTAATAGCAGCATAGATCTAAAAGCTATAGTCCTTAAGTTTATAGTATGTATCTATACTCTAGACTATATTAGGGCTAGGCGTAATATACTTCCTACGGCGACGTATAAACTTCGTAGCCCTATTATATAGGCTAGCGGGATAGACCTCGCGGGCTATCTCGTATAGTCGCTTCCTACGATGTAGTAGTATATTAGCAAACCCCTTTCTACCTTATAGATATATATCGTATAAATATACTAACCTACTAAGCGTAAGCCGCGTACGATCGGTTATACGGAAGTATATTTATAGTAATATTATTCTATATGCTCTAAGGTTCGAGCGATTAATCTCCTTCTTTATAATTTTTTTATATTCCTCTTAACGCTTAAGGAACTCTCCTTCTCTTAGTCGTTTCTTAATACCTATACTCCGCCGAAGCCGTATAAAGGTATAGTACTTAATCGCAAATCCCTCCTCGTTTAATTTATCTACGATATACGTATCTAGTAGAGCTTCGAGGTAGAAGAGTTCGGCTATTCGGATATAAAGGAGGGGATTATCGTAAAGACTGTTCTTTAACGACTATCGGGGTTCGCTACCGTTCTCTACGACGATTATACGGATAGTCCGTTCGGAGGTATATAGCTATTATAAATAGAGGAAGGTTTAAATATCGGTAATACTCGTATTATTATTCTAGAGTTTAACGACTTTTAGATAAAGATTAGGGGGGATAGAAGGGGAGCGGCCTATTATATAGAATGTGCGTATAATAGGGTAGAGGGTAGACGGGAAAGGAATTAGCGTAGTAAAAGGTTATAAACTTTAGCGAAAACTTTGCTAAAAACTATAAGGTTAGGGTTAGAGTAGTATATTTCTTTAATATAGAGCGATAGTAATATAAATCGTAGGATATTTATAGGGACAAATTATACGAACGTATAAATTAAGGAGGAGTTATATTTTAGGTATAGAAGTAAGTAATTATAAAATAGAAAATATATTTTAAAAGTAGTTTTTAAGTACTATAATTAAGGCCCTCGTAACCTATTAGAAACTCCTAACGCTTAAAGCCGCTAGTATAAAGAACTTAAAAGAGATTCCCTCCTCCTCTAGATACCCTTAACGCCCTAATTACCTCTCTAAAAACTACCCTCTACCCTAATTAAGCCCTATTACTAGTACTCTACTATCCCTATTCTCTAGCGACTACTAGTACGCCTAGACCTCGTTACCTACGATATACTACGCTTCGGCCGTACTTAATCTCTATCCTAGCGATTAAGTAAGTCCCTACGGTCGTAGCTATAAGCCTAATTATAAAACTTATAGTTACTATAGATATTATAGAAGTTCTT